ACAAACGCACCTCGTGAGGTACACCCTGTAGGCCTGCTTCGGTATGTCGGGGGTGTCCTGTTCAGCGAGATGCCTCATGAGCTTCGGGAACATGCTGATGGGCGCGTCCTCCTGGCAGAGAAACTGCACCGACCTCATCAGCCGAATAGCCCGCCTTCCCTCAACGTCAGCGTTGATGAAACGATCGATTTTCGTCTGCCCGTTCGAAATCGCCTCCGCAATCTCTGCCTGACGCTGCATCGCCTCCTTGTGGACCGACGTGTGCTCGTGGATGCGCATCGTCTGAGTCTGCAGGTCTCGCCCGCCGTCGCCTGGACCTGAGTACTTGGTTGTCTCCTTGCCGAACGAGAGACACAGGCTGCACTTCACACTGGGACCACCGTCTTTAGCGCGAACCAAAAGCAGCCACGGGAATTTGGGCAACCACTGGGTTTTATACTTAACACTCGCCTCTATGTACTTCTGCTCCATTACCTCAGCCCTGGACAGGATGGGAGAGTTGGTGTCCGCACGTACAGGTATCTCCTCTGGTTCCTCTGGTTCGGGCTCTGAGTCTTCTGGAGCGCTTGGTGGTGCCACGCGCACACCGCCGAAGGTCAACGTGCTCTGCTGAAACTTCCCGCGGAGTACGACAGTGCGCGCCTTCTTCGCTGTACGACCCTCGGACGCGGGAGCGGCATCATTGCAGCCACTGCTACCAACAGCAGAGGGAGGCGCTGTACTGGACGATGGGATGGCGGGAGGGAGGGTGAACGGCGCTGGTGGTGGTGCGGGATTGCGAGGTGGTTGCGGCCCCTTGCTAGACGACGGGATGGCGGGAGGGAGAGTGAACGGCGCTGGTGGTGGTTGCGGCCCCTTGCTAGACGACGGGATGGCGGGAGGGAGAGTGAACGGCGCTGGAGCAGGCGCGGGATTGGGGGCCGGTTGCGGATTCTTGCTGGACGACGGGATCTCCTCGTTATTAAAAACAGCAGCGGTAACTAAAGGTTCTGGAGTGACTGGAGCTACGCTTGATCGAAGGAAGTCTAGGCCTCTAACCCTACGATCAGGAGGCTTTTCCGGGACGGCCTCAGGGGAGTCCTCCGCGGGAGATGAGGACGCCATGGCGAGAGAGAACGATGAATCAAGAATCTGAAATTACGAGAATGAAAGCAAACTGTGAAACTGGGAGACCCTTCAGCCTGGAAAGAACCAGCTGCAGCAGACGGAACGAAAGCCGCGTCGCCACGACAATGGCTCACGGAGTGGGGTGGGGTTTGATGAATGAATCGGGCCTCGAAGACGGGGCCAAATTCATCTGCCACAATGCCACCACACATAGCTGGTGAGCCATGCCACCAATCGCGATCAACCCATCACATTGAGTGAGGGTGGCGCGGTTCGCGTGGCTGCAGAGTCATCATCAAACTGCGCAGCACGCCGCACCTGGCTGCCTTGCTGTGCACAGCGCACCAACAGCTTTTGTCAACATTACGTGGTTTCGAGGCCATGCGAACAAGAAGACAACCACGGGGGGTGGTGAAATGATTACGCGTGGAAAGTTTTAATGAGGGGGGGGGGGGGGGGGGGGGGTACTTTCGGACATTTCGGGGAAGCTTCCTTTCAATACACCGGCATACAGGGTCCACATACCGTATACTCTGTAGAGCCAGACTCCAGAAACGACTAAGTCTGAGAACTATTACACTATATCAGGGGCCTACAAACAATAACACTGAGGCCCTCAGGGATGAGATATTGATTACTCTGCAAATCCATTTTCCACAACCTCAATGCTCTGATTGGTCAGACTAATCAGACTATTTAGTCTGATAGCGTCAGCCCTGTGTGCACCCCCTCAAAAATTTCAAGAATAGATAAATAGCACTACATAAGGAGATTAGCAAGCAGAAATACTGCATAATGTAACGCTGAGACTGTCGTTCGCAACACGTCGCGTTTTCGCAGAGCGAATGCACTATCGAAATTGCTCGATACACAATTCACAAAAATATCGTCATGCTGACGCTGGGACTTTGCTGTCATCGACTTTTCGCAGGTGCCATATTCGAGCCGCCTGCTGCTGATCGCCCTGAGCCAAGCCAACCCTCTACGCGATCAGACCTGACACATACCATGCGACTCGCTTGTTTCTGCCGGTTGGGACGGAACTGAACCTTGGCGCCGAGACGAAGCCCAAAGCAACCTTCCGAACCAGCTCAGTCAGCAGCAGCCCCCAAAACGTTAGCTGGTGAAGGGATGTTGCGGCATTGGATCGAGGATACACCTGCACTGTTTCATCCTAGGCGATTTCTCGCCTACCGCCGCATGTGGTCACACCCTCGAGCCACAGGGGACGAACGATAACAGTTAGCGTCAGCTCAGCTTCGCTGTGAAGCTGAGGCAGCTCAAGTGTGCTGCAGAGTTGGCTTGGTGTGGCAGGAAATTATTTCGTGACGGTGGTTGGAAATGTTATGATGGAAATAAGAACGGTTACTGGAATCACAGAGCGGTAAAAGAACATACATCTGGTTCCTTCCCACCCCACTCATAGTGAACAGTGAATATGACACGCTCTGCTGTTCCACAACTAACCAACAAGTCATGGAGCACAACACTGTCCACGTGATTCGACATAAGGGCCCAACAAAACCCACCCTCCTTCACAACTGAGCTGGTGAAAAATGGTATGGCTAGGTTGAGAACGTTTACCCGCGATGATACGTTGTACTTCTGAATGGAACCTGTCCATGGCGGACGTGGGTCTTCCCATCTTTCTCCCGAACATTATTAGCTACTTATGTGATCCCGTAAGATTCCAGCCAGTCTGGTTTACAGCTTGCACCCTCTCCAATTCTTCTCCGTCTTGCACGAGCAGTAAGACGATTCGCGTCATTAGCAAATAATTGAGCGTCGAGTTTGTGTCAGTACGAGTCTTTCCATAATTAGCGAGTCTGTTCGTGTGATCAGCAACCTGAGTCGTCAGTTATTCGATCGTGTACATCAGAAGCAGTCACCGATTAGCCTGCGTGTAGCCGCGACTACCCTAACATATCTCCTTCCGTTCAACGCGACGTCTGCTACCAAGAATTGCCGCACATCGCTTCTTTCCCGTCAGACCATCCCGTTATCATCGCCCAACACGTGTTACCATGAGCTGCTCGACACACCACGCGAAGGAACATCATTCGGCGACAGATCGGGTCTTGCAACATGTAGCCGCTGCGATGCCCAGGTTACCCGCAGGCGGCGTTTCATGCATCCAATCTTTCCAACCCGCAACTCTTCGCCTGTCGAATGGTTCGCTGGAAGTTCACTTGGAGCCGCTCCATAGAGGCGCATCCGATGCAAGCATCCTTGGAACCACTCGTGTGCGTGTACTCGGCTCGCGACACGGCTCCGTTCGCCGAAAGCGGATTCTTCGCTTCGACGAGGACGTTGACGTTGACGGCGAAGCGGACGCGCAGTTCACGGCCGCCTGGAACAGCCGTCGCTTGGAGATTCTTGGGTCGCGTAACGGAACCCCACGACGGCCTGTAGGATGTTGTGCGAAAAGTGAGCAAGGAGCGCTTGATGCGGGGGGGTCGGGTCTCGTTACTGCTGTCTCGCTTTCAAAAGAACAGAACGCGGGATCGGATTCTTTGCATTCGTTACGATCTATCTAGGTTTCATGTACATACTACGTTGTAAAATACACGGTATTCCTGACTATAACTTACTAACGTGCATGCTGCATGTAGAATAAACGTATCCCTGAATTTGATTGTACAATTTTAAGTGCATTTTTTGTAGATTTATTAAGGAGTTGCTTTGTGGATCAAATACAGCTAACACATATCTAGTTGTACAAAGAGTCATTCATTAAGTTCGGATTTATCAGTATCGAGGATTGAAGTCTCACTGTGCTTGTGTCAAGGTCCTTCGTCGTGAGCCAACGACTTACTGCTGCGAAGCACGGAGACCTCAAGAGGCCTGAGGCGAGTTATGGCGACTGCTGCTAAACTTTCCTCTTGTTCTTTTCTATTGATATCTCAGACGACCCATCCGCAGACGAATATCGTTCTCTGCCTACTTCTGATTCCTTGCGATTCCACAGAATCGTTGATCACCGTCGATTTTCTGAAAGCTTCCGATGGCGTTCGCTCCCAGGAGCGCGATCTCACAAGAGTTTGCACCACTGGGCGTATTGTCCCGGAGACTCTGCAGTAGTCATGGATGCTTGAAAAGCTCCTCCTTCCAACCAAGCCAAGCGAAAAACGTCCACCGACCGAACGTGATTCTTCAGTGTACGATCAACTAACAACCGCACAATTGGTTGCTCTCCTCGTTAAACCTGGACATTAGGGCGGGTCCGAAGTGAAGTCGACATCCGTTGACATCCGATGTCGGTAAATCCTGACGGTTGGAAATCTCGATCCGAGGGCTGACATTTACCGACATCCATCGACGTCCATTCGACGCTTCACTTCGGACACGCTCTTAATTTGGTCCAGCATGCCTCAGGCCAGCCTGTATTTTTGCTGAGATGGAAATACCGTACACGTACCCTTCACTCAATCAGCACAGCACCTTCTCGAAGCCTCCTACTTCGCCTGCAAATCCGATTTCCAGCTTTAACGTCGATCATCAAAGAGTATTCATGGGTGCAGTGAATCCGCCGCAAGCGTCGAACCAAAACCGATGCTACAGTGCAGGTCGTAGGACGTGAATGTCTCCGAAAACGTTCGACTTAGTCCGTCGCTTCGTCTCGTACGACACGGTATGGCGACTCACGCGTGTTCGTCTGCGGCTTCTCCGAGCGTACATAACCCCGCGCGCTTGTGTACCCTTCAATGCATTTTCACAGAAATCGTCTTTGCTATACCGCAGCGATTGCAACCCAAGCCGCCTCTCGCAACTTCAAGTCTAAGCCTTGACTTCGAGTCTGAGTCGCAGCAAACAGCCTGAGCAGCCTGCTACGCCACACCATACTCTTTACAGCCCGACACGCCCGACGAGGAGCTTCTTTGACAAAGAAAGCCATGACTCACTTCTCCTTCGCGGTGAAACCTTCGCCTCTCAACAGCGCCGCGCGCTCGCGCTTCCCCAAGTCCTGCTCCACCGGTTCCGTGGCTTACGGTTCTGCCACGTCATCGGCTGCCGCACTGTCCCAGCTCGCGTCCCCGTTCGCTTCCCCGCTCGCCTCCCCGTTCGCCTCCCCCCTGGCGTCACCCCGGGCATCCTCGTTTGCTGCTTCAGCAGCAGCAGCGGGTTTCAACTCGCCTCTCCCCTCTGTATCAGCTTCCCCGCTGGTTTCCTCAACCATGCACCCGTCAGCTAATCACACTCGTTCTTCGCTGCCTCATCATGGGGACGACACGGCCGTGCATGAACATGACTCGTTAGAGGCTTCCTCGGTTAAGTCACAAGACAGGATGCGACCCCCTACTGTACCCGTCGCTGGTGGGGAAAATGTCCGTGCTTTGAAGCCGAAATTGCCTCCCACGAAGCCTTCAAGTCAAGCCTTGGGAGATTCTGGAGCCACTCCTACCGAAGCTGCTTCTATCGAGTACATTTCTGGAGCTGAGTCCAACGGGAACAGCTTTGATGAGTTCATTGTCAGGCGGCGGTTTGAAGTCATGCCTCTTGACGACAACGACGAGCAGGAATGTAACTTGGAGAGAATGGCTTCTCAGGCGCGTCTTGAGGCTGCTAGACTTGCTGTGTTGGGATCGCGGCGCGGATCCGTTCACATTCAGCGCGAATCAGCATGAATCCGCGTGAATCAGCTCATCCCCACGTTGATCCTTCAGTTCCCTCAGTGCGGCGTAGCTAGGCGAAATTTAAGTGGTGTGAGGAGGGGAGCACCAGCGGAAGTGTGACTGGGAGGATGCGTGTGACATGGATGTAAGCAAGGAGCAACAAGCGCTGGGATGAACCTTCCTCATTCATCAATTCAGCACTATGAAGGATTCTTCCTTCCATCAATTTAGCTTGAAGCCATTCTTGCTCATTTCCCTGGGTGAGTGCAGTGACAGTGCATGAGCTTTGGTGTTTGGAAACCTGTCTACCTTTCTCTGTGGAGTGCAGCTATGGGGGGGGGGGGGGGGGGGGGGGGGCCATGTAAATGAGCATGTACAGTTTTTTTTCCCTTATCATAGATTGTTGGCTTGTACTAATACTCCACTGCTTTTTACCCTCGTTCACCTAGAGAGATGTACAAAAAACGAGCACCACAGTTGCATGCTATAAGGCTGGGTATGGGGCTAGCACTAGAAACGCATCGACTCAACAAGCTCCTTCATCCCATCACGTGGCTAGCAATACAAAGAAGACACTATTCGTAGTAAATGAGAGATAAAGTGTACTGCTGACACCCCGAGATCTATGGAAAATATGCCACTTGTAATCAACAAGGGTCTCGATAATATGTTTGGTTAAACAATAACGGACACGGTCACTGCAAAGGGTGATTTCACGTAATCAGTCGCAATCAGCTGGGAAAAAATCACGCGAATGGTCACAGATGAAACTACCGCCCAAAAAAGACAATGACCAAAAGGAATCTGGATGCATTTTCGGATCTACATGAACCCGCAGGCCAAGAAGTTCAACCTTAGGAAGGTTGGTTGGGAGTGAAAACGTGATTGGCCCGCGAACTGTGGGGGTGTCGAGATTGTTGAGAATGTTCGTAAGCTTGCGCAGGTTCGCCAATGTTACCAGGGCTGGCCTGCGACATGTACTTTACGCACACATCAGTCGCACAGAGCCTAAAGCGACACCTCACAGCAACCTGACTCACAACCACATTTCCCAACACCACGTCACCTCATTGTAGTATAGGGTGACTGCGCCTACTACAGGTAGCTAGGAAATTGGGCCTAGCGCAAGGGCAAAGCCCCATCCGTCAAATCTCGAAAACGGCGAGGGATAGTTATAGCGTACACAAAGCTGCTCGACGGCATCAATTTCTATCGCGACACACTGCACGAGCCGGCAACGCCCGTACGTGCGTCACCTGACAGCTGCGAATCCCTCAGATTACCCCGCGATAAGCGATGCTCGTCCCGTCCCCCTCCCGTCGCCTTCACATCCCCATCCCGTCGCCTTCACTCCCCCCTCCCGTCGCTCTTCCCTTTTCCCTCGCGTCACCCTTCCCTTTTCCCGGACCGTCGCGCTTCCCTTTTCCCTCGAGTCGCTCTTCCCTTTTCCCTCTCGTCGCCTTCCCTTTTCCCTCCCGTCGCCTTCCCTTTTCCCTCCCGTCGCCTACCCATTTCCCTCTCGTCGCCTTCCCTTTTCCCTCCCGTCGCCTTCCCTTTTCCCTCCCGTCGCCTTCCCTTTCCCCCCCCGTCGCCTTCCCTTTCCCCTCCCGTCGCCTTCCCTTTGCCCTCCCGTCGCCTTCCCTTTTCCCTCCCGTCGCCTTCCCTTTTCCCTCCCGTCGCCTTCTTTTTTCCCTCCCGTCGCCTTCCCTTTTCCCTCCCGTTCGCCTTCCCTTTTCCCTCCCATCGTCTTCACCGAACTCTCCCGTCGCCTTCACTTCCCTCTCCCATCGCCCTCGCTCCCCCCTCCCATCGCCCTGCTCATTCTCCAGTCGCCCTCTCTTCCCCGGCTCACCCTGTTTCCCCAGCTCCCACGCTAGCCCCCGGCTCTCTCTGTCTGTCTCCCCTGCTCATTCTCTTCGCCGTCTCCCCCCCATTCCCCCACAACCTCTTCCTCAAGTTGTTGGTTGGTTCATTTGCGCTAACGCTTCCCTCTCCGACGCTACCGTGACCCTGCACCCGACGCCACCCCGCCATTTCTCCACGCTCATCCTCCCTTTCCCTCACTACCACCCGCCCAATCCCCCACTCCCCCGCGTCCTTTCCGCCACTCCCCCCCGCCCTATCCCCCACTCGCACCCGTCCATTCCCCCACTGCCCCGGTCCTTTCCCCCACTCCCCCCCGTCATTACCCCCACTCGCCCTCGCCCTGCTTCTCCACATAAACATTCCTTTCCCTCACACTAATCCTCCTTTTCCCTCACGCTAATCCTCCCTTTCCCTCACGCTAATCCTCCCTTTCCCTCACGCTAATCCTTCCTTTCCCTCACGCTAATCCTCCCTTCCCCTCACGCTAATCCTTCCTTACCCTCACGCTAATCCTCCCTTTCCCTCACGCTAATCCTCCGCTTCCCCCACACTAAAGTTCCGTTTCCCCCACGCTAATCCTCCGTTCCCCTGTGCCACCCTTCCATCTCCCCCACGCCAACTCTCTCTCCTGCGCCAACGTTAATGGTCCCTTTCCCACACTCACCCCCTCCTCTTCCCCCATTACCACCCTCCCTTTCCCCCACGCTGACCCTTCCTCCCCGAGGTGCCAACCCGTTCCTCCACGCCAACTCTCCCTTGCCCTCTCGTCAACCATCCATTTCACCACGTCGTTGCTCTACACTTCCCCCTCCTGTCGCCTTCACTCCCATTCTCACTCTCTCCCCTCCTGCTCACGGGATTCCGAGCCCTCACTCCCATTCCCCCTGCTCACTCCCATTCCCCCTGCTCACTCCCATTCCCCCTGCTCACTCCCATTCCCCCTGCTCACTCCCATTCCCCCTGCTCACTCCCATTCCCCCTGCTCACTCCCATTCCCCCTGCTCACTCCCATTCCCCCTGCTCACTCCCATTCCCCCTGCTCACTCCCATTCCCCCTGCTCACTCCCATTCCCCCTGCTCACTCCCATTCCCCCTGCTCACTCCCATTCCCCCTGCTCACTCCCATTCCCCCTGCTCACTCCCATTCCCCCTGCTCACTCCCATTCCCCCTGCTCACTCCCATTCCCCCTGCTCACTCCCATTCCCCCTGCTCACTCCCATTCCCCCTGCTCACTCCCATTCCCCCTGCTCACTCTCTTTCCCCCCCGTCTCACCCATTTTCCCCCTCCTGGGACTATTTCCCCCACTTTCTCGGCCTAATATTGCCCTGCACACTCCCTTGCTCCTTGCTCACACTCTCCCCTTCTGCTCACACCCTTTTCCCCTGTACTTGGGGGATCTCACCCCCCTCTTCACTCTCCATTCCCATTCCCCTTCGCTCACCCCTTTCCCACCTCCAACTCCTCTCATTTTCCCTTTGCGCACTCCCTTCTCCACCCTGCTCTCTCTGTTTCCCCTTTTGCTAATCCCTCTGCCTCGTCCACTCCTCCCATGCATGCCCTTCTTTACCTCCACCTCCACCCCTTGCTCATTCTGTCATACGTTCTCCCCTATTGGTTCCCTTCGCTTGCCACCATTCCGTTCCCTTCACCTGCCTTCAACTCCCATCTGCTCTCCCTCGAATACGCCTCCTCCTTTTCCTCCTCGGTTCAGTTCCCATTACCCCCTTACCCTTCCCTTCTCCCCTACGCCAGTCCTCCCCTTCCCCCACTCCAACCCCTCTATACCCCTTCGCTAGTCCTCCCCGTAAGGTAAGGGCCTTACGTTCACTGTGCTACCCTGCGCCGCCCTCCTTTCTCATAGCTACCCTGGTCATTCTCCCATCCCTGATTCACTTGCGCTAACGTCTCCTGCACCGATGCTCTCCTTTATCCCACTCCCACCATCTCTTTTCCACCCCCACCTCCCCCCCTTCTCCCGCAGTCGCTGGTGCACTTTGGCCGGCTGTGAGAGTGGGTTAAGCAGCATCACCAGCGCCTCTGTCGGAAGGCTCCTCGCCTTCCGACGCCTGCTCTCCACCAACTCCGCCTGGACTGCCATAACCCACCTCCCGTCCTCTCCCTCCGCCTCATCTCCTTCCTCCTCTCACTCCTCCTCCTCTTCCTCATCTCCCCTCACTCATCTTGTTCTCTCTGGTGTCTCAATCGCTCCTCCCTCATCCCTCCCCCTTAGACACCTCCCTAGCCATCTTCACCCACCTCGACCTCTCCCACTCGCGCGGCGCCACACTTCCTCCTCCTCCGCACCTCACCACTCTCCACCGCACTCCACTCCTCCAGGCCCTCACACCCCGCCCTGCGGCTAGCAGTGGTTACAAGCAGCAGGATCCATCGCACACCTCCACCTCTACCCTGCTCCTGTCTCTGACACCCATGTGTTTCACCTCGCCAACTCCCGTCCCCACACGGTATGCCAGCTCCTCCCCACTCTCTACCGCACTCTACTCCCCTTTCACGCACTCACAACCCGCCCTGCGACCTGAAGTGGTTAGAAGCGCCAGTATCACCCTCACACACCTCGATCTCTCCGGCTCACTCTGTCTCCCCTTCTCACTCTCCTCCCCCCCCGGCTCACTTTGTTTCCGCGCACGCTACCAACCCCTGCCCCATTACCCTCTCTCTCGCTCCCATTTCCTTCCCCGACAAACACCCGCCCCAGCCCCATCTCCCTCGCGTCCAGTCCCCCACTGCCTCCAACCTTACCTCCATTCCCTCACCCCCCTCGTTCTTTCCCCGACTCCCCCCCGTGTCCTTAGGAACACTGCCACCCGTCCATTCCCCCATTCCTCCCCGTCCAATACCCCACTCACTCCGTACCTTTCCCACACAATAACCCGCCCTTTCCCCAACGCCAAAGCTCAGCTTCCCCCACTTACACCCTCCCTTTCACCTGCACATACCCACTCCCCTCCCCCACTCCACCTCGTCCTTCCTTCCGTCCAATCCCCATCTACTCCCCATCCACCCTCCTATGCTACCCTGGGCATCCTCTATTCCCCCTATCAACACATGACATCCTCTCTCCCCCCTGCTACCCATGTCATCCTCTATGCCCCTATCAACACATGACATCCTCTCTCCCCCCTGCTACCCATGTCATCCTCTATTCCCCTATCAACACATGGCATCCTCTCTCCCCCCCGCTACCCATGTCATCCTCTATTCCCCCTACTACCCCTTCCCCCTCCTACTCTGCTCATGGCACTGGACGGCGATGTGTACGTGAACGAGCAGTGACAGTGATGAGGTGAGGGGGGGGGTTTGCAGGGGTGGCGGCTCGGGGAAATGAGCAGTGAGTGGGCGCGGCAGTGAGGTAAGGGAGTGGGCGCGGGGGGAGTGTGGTAACAGTGGGCGCGGTGGATGTAGCATGAGCGCGCGCGGTGGATATGGGAGGAGAGTGGGATGTGTCTGGTACGCAACTTCCAGGTCCTTGGTGAGGTCTCTCTTCTTCGTGCGTTACAACACACCTGTGCTCAATCTCGCTATGCACCCCGCGCCCAGCACAGGACTTACCAGGCTTGGTACCACTTGATCATTCCGGCGAGTCACCGTCGCCCCCAAGACTTCAACGATTTGTTGACGTAGGGGATGTATGGCGCAGGGTTATGGTACTTACTCGAATGTTTGTAGAGTCGTTTCTAACGTTGCAAAGGCGACACGCGGGAGTAGAGTGGGCAGGAGAGAAAATAGGGACAAATTCAGGAGATTGGGTGGTGACGGAGGGCAGATGGGCGGTCTCCAGGGGGAGGCCACGCGCAGGGCGGTCTAGCCTCTCAAGCGGTGGCTGAGGAAGACGATGATGGGGAAGGTATGTGGCCAAGTGTGCACCTTGCAACCTCTGTATTTGCTCACGCCATATCTCCTGCACCCTCTGTCCACTCCACTCTCACACACCACTGCCCTTCTGACCATTTGATCACTCACACACCCCAGCTCCATCTGTCCACCGCACACGCTGTCCTCTCTAAAGCGCTGTCATGGCTAAACTCCAATATCCTACAGCTCACAATGTCCTCCCTTCACTCTCCACCCGTGACCCTTCTCTGTCCTGCCCGGATTATATCCTCCGCTCAACCCGCCTTGCCCTCAGCGACACCTTGGCCTTGCGCCATGACAAGCATTCGCGTCCCCACCACTCTCATTCTACGTGTATTGACACTGAGGGAAGAAGAGAGGGAGGCTGAAGAGGAGGGGAGTAGTAATAGGAAGAGTGTTGGGAACAAATAGTCTTAAGCGCCTCTGTCGTGTCGAAACTCAAGACACAAGCGAAGCAGCTCAAATCGAAGCACCGCGAGTCAACCCTCGGAGGTTAACGTAACCGCTGGAGGTTACGAGAAAGTCAAAGGTCAGCGACCTTTGACCTGACGCAGCGCGACAGCAAGGACACACAACTGACTCGACATTGAGCAGTTGCCCGAGACGCACTGTATCGAACCGCAACAGTAAAATAGTTACAATTATGTCTCTTCATATTCTCTGTACTCATATATATATTCCTGTATCTCTTTGCTTTAATTAACTTACTTTGCCCTCACACACTAGCGCAAGGTGGTTCAAGGACTTTATTCAAACGCTTCCGCTACTACATCATTTACTCAGACTTTAACTCTACTAAAGATCCTAGGGCGTTCAGCCCAACAAAGAGGAGGATGAAGCAGGAGGAAGGGGGAGCGAGGTTGTGGAAGTTCATGTATAGCTCTGTAATACTACCATTGTAGCACTGTGATCACAACTGTGGCAAATGGCAGTGTGCGTTTGCTTGCAGTGGATCTGTAACCTGCGATCATTGATCATCCATTGATACATTAATGCGTAAGGCATTGATTGGTATGGAAATCGTGGGAGTTCCAAAGTTGCAATCAAGTGGCAAAGTACAGTTATTTATACGCTTCACTTGAAGGGACGCACACAGTTGAAATCATAAGCGCGACGCTGATGGTTGCAGACGCAGCAAATGAAGACTGAGCCAGTCAAGGGCCCTGCAGTCAGTGGGAGTGGCGCTCGTCCAAAACACCACAAAGCAATCCCTACTGTTACACTAGCCCTGCTCGGGACAACATATGGCCTACTCAACAGTCGAGACTAAGAAACACATAGCGTTCGCATATGGGTGGAGTGCGGATGCGGCCCTCCATTGGAACGCCACTGTGTAGGGTGTGAGCCTCCATGCGCTTCACACTGCCAACACTCGGCTCCCCTCAGTGTCCAGTGCTCCTTCCGTCTGCCACCCTACTGTCTCTTCCCCGCTCCTTCGTGTCAACCCAATAGTGCTTGCACATCCCTACGCTTGCACCCGACATAGGACCATTTCCCGTTTCCACTACTCCCAGCGACGCCACCACTTCTCCCTTGCGAGAGAACCACACTGCTCTCAAGCCCAGAAGGGTCTATACCATACTCCGATGCCTCCTCATCAGCCCCCTCTTCATGAGCATCCTCCCCATCATCCATCAGCCTCGACCCATTCTTCCCTATGGTCCTTCTCAACCCGCTCTTCCCTCTCACCCCCTACTCCCTCTCCCAACACCCCTCATACGTGCCATTCGCCCATGCAAGCCCCTCTGCTTCCATACCACCCTCATTCAGGCACCTCAATGGATCTCTCTCCCCCCCTCCCCCCTGCTGCCATCCCTTTCTCTAACCTCCTCTTCCTCCGCGCCCTCGCTCTCTCCCTCGCCTTCTCCTTCACACCGCATCCTTCCCTTCACAGCTTACTCCCACCTTGTTTCAAATCTTCTACCATCCTGTGCCCCTTCTTCGCCCACTCCCACCCTCTTACCCTCAACCCCGCGTCTCCCAAACTTACGATTAACCTTGCGCATCCAAGGGCTTCACATTTAACTTCTCCTTCCCTCCACTCCTTTGATTGGCCCCACCCAACATCTCACCCCCACCCCTCCTCTCCCCTCCAACCCCGCTTCCCAAAGTCTAATCAGCCTCTATCTTCCTTCAGCCGACCAGACCCCTCTGCTTCCTCCCCTCCCCTCCCTCACCCTTCTCCGGTCCCAAATCCAGTCCAGACCCTAACCCCCTTTCCCTGCTCCTACAGCGTCATCTCTAAACACCTTCCCCGATCGGCTCCCCGCCTGCCCCTGCTTCAACGCCATACAACGATGCATCACCTCCCACTCCTCTCCTTTTCTCCGCTCCTTGGTCTCCCTCCGTCCCCCTGTGAATTGGGAGGGGGGAGGGCAGAGCCGGGAGTAGGACGGAAGAGGGGGACGGACGGGGAGAGGAGGGGGGAGGAGGGTGGGGGGGTGGAGGGGTGGGGGGGTGGGGGGTTGGGGGGGGGGGGGGGTGGGTTACAATTAGTAACCCTGAGAACGCGGGAGCGCAGTGGGTGAAAACAATGCAGAGCTCGAGGGCCACGAGAGATACTAAGGTGAGGCGCATAGGTGGGTTGTCATGTAGATTGGACCTACCTTGCCCTTCTTGCGCTGCTTCTCATGCTCCGGCGATTGCTCCGTGCTGATCTCGTAGTCCATGTACCTACAAAAACATTACGGGTTATCATAGAGGGTGCACGAAGCATTGATGAGTGAGACCTCCAAAGGAAGTGTACTAATAGTCCAAAATGCGTGTGCGACTCCAATGGCTCAAGTATTTCTCACCGTTGTGGCGTCTTGCGTGCACGCTTCTTTGGTGTACACAGGGCGGTGGGGCCTTGATTACCGCGGCATGGGCTCATCTGGAAATTAAAAACATCGTTGCACACATGAGTTTAGGGGCACCGATGACACGGGCAGCGAGACATGTTGATTCAAAAGCATGTAGATAGGTGAGGCTCCACGTGACTTACACGTGAGACGACAACGTGCACAGGACGGGCGCGGGCCACGCACGGTCCTGTGGCGCCTCTTGGACCACGAGCTGTGTCAACGGGAGTTGTGTGTTGGCCCCGTCCTCGCTTGGGCGGAGCCGACATCGTGGTCGGGTGTTAGGGGAGCAGCCGACCTGCAGCAGTGGGCGAGCTGGTTGACGAGGAGGTCGACCTGCACGGGGACCACTGCACGGGCGCCGACTTCAGGGTGGCGCCAACTTCGGGGAGGTCGACTTAGGAGTCGACCTGCGGAGGACGTCAACTTGGTGACGTCAACTTCGTGACGCCGACTTCGGGTGGCCGACGTGGGTGGTCGGCCGACAACTGCGCTGGCCGACTCAGTGCTGGTCGACGTGGAGCCGGTCGACCAGAAGGGACGTCGACCTGGAGGAGGTCGACCGAGGGGCGTGGTCGTCCTGGTGAGGTCGACATGGAGGTGGTCGTCGACTTGGGAGGTCGACGGGCACGTACGGGAGCTGCTGGTCG